TTGGCTTACACTGTTATAACACGATGATTTAAATGTGCAGCAATCTGAGACATGTACATAAGTTAAATTGTCTGCATCGTAGGCCCAGTGTCAGTGATGATTTGATAGTTTACTCATCAGTTTGGCAGCTCCTGCAGCTCATCGTTGTTCCCTGCAGCCCTGGCTGTTGCAGGGTTGTCTGCAGCTGCTATTTGAATGCATATGTATATTTTACCTTAATGAGGGAGGGTGAGATAAGGGAAGAAGTGGAAAAGGGAGTGTTTTGGTTTGTTTTGCAATTCCAGAGCTGGATCAGGAAAACATTTATGCATGTGTCTATTGGCTGTCTTATTTAAGTACTGGTCTGGATGTTGCATTTATTAAAAATCTTGCTTAAAGCACTTAAGCCTATGGGAGGGTGACCATAACAATTAGTAAGTTACCTTGACTAGTGGCCCTCAACTTCAAGGTTTCATCAACCATGAGATGCTTGCACTGTGCACCTAAATGTAACGCACAGGTGTGACTAAATAAGTGATTTATTGAAAAGCAATCATTGTAAAGCTGTGTTCTCCCACTTCTTTGTAAGTGAAATTGGTGCAGAATGCATGATTTCGATCACAAACCCCTTTTTGTGCTTCATTTCAGTGATGGCATTGTAACTAAATGGGTAGAGTGTCTTTAGCTTTTTGGCTGGCTTGGAATTTGGGAAATTCCGTTAGAGACTGGAAAGGAAGTTATTGCATATTTTGCTTAAAGTCTATTGCAGGAATAAACTAAAAGATACAAGTACATGATTGATTTATGTTCATGCTTTGTAAGCATCCTATTCCTGAACTTCAGGTCTATTATTTGATTAAATCTATTTTTTGATACTCAGTGTTGTGTCTGTGTATGCTAACTGAAGTAGTGGTTATGTGAATGCATATGCACATAGTCTCCTCCATGTATCTGGTGCTGCTAATTTTTGTCCTTAAGGCAGGATACAGGAGTGTTCCACAGTGCCTATCTGCATGTTTTCAGTGCCATATTTAGAAAAACTTACTTCCAAGACCTTAATTTTCAGAAGGGTTGGTTTCTGTAAGACAAACGCAAGAAAAGCAAAATGCTTGGCTTTTAAAGACACACACAGAAAATTTTGCTCTATTCAGTGAGATAATTGAAGAGTGGTTGAGTGGATTTCAGGATTGCATTTATGGGGGATTGAAGAAATGTGTTTCAACTGTGTAGGGTGTGAATATCTTCTGAGGAGTATCTCAGAAGTTTTCTCCATCTTTGGTACTCTGATACTCTTAATACTTCTTCCCCAATAATTAGGAAGCAGTTTTTACTATTTTCTTAGCGACTGCACTTTTAGAGACATAATAATGTCGTTAGCTTTCTTGCCCCCCTCACTCAGGAACTGACTGCACTGGTAGTGCCCTTAGAGAAGGAAGGGTGATATAATCTCATAGGTAGCATGCTATGTAGCAGATTTGTTTCCTGCAGGTATCTGTATCTCTCTTGAGGCTGTATTCTTAATACTCTTTACATCTCAATTATCATTTAGTTACACCTCTTTGTGTTCTTTATTCACAGAAATCACCTGGAAAACCTGCCTGAGTGGGTGTGTGACAGCAGGAAACTGGAAGTGTTGGATGTTGGCCACAATCAGATACGAGAGCTGCCTGCCCGGTAAGTCTTGCAGACCAGTTGCACAATGTGGAACAGGATAAGCAATTCAGAAATAATTGCTGATTCAGTGTTTAGCTTGTTCCAGTGACTGTCAGGGCTGTTTTATCTTTTGTTTGATTTTATTTTTACCTTGTGGGGTGTCGTCATGCCTCAAGCTTCCACCCAGCCTTTCTTCTTTTACTTTCATGCAGAGAAAGTAGTGCCTTTGAACTCCAAGTGAAAGTTTTGAAGCTGTTCATGTGGCTGTTCAGGCAGGAAAGCCCTTGATTTTTAATACCGAATATTAAATATTTACAGCCATAACTTTGCATGACAGTTTAGAGATCAGGAACTTGTAACTTAGCTTCAGTGATGCCTAGAGAGTCCAGCTCACAGCCTTGTTTGAGTAGAAGAGTGTTTAGAGGAGAAAGGTAAAGCCTCATCAAGCAAGTAAACTCCTGCAAGTAGAGCAATTGCCTTCACTACAAAGAGTTTCTTTCCCAGGAGTCTAAACTTAAAATTAGTAAACACAAATGATAGAAAAGAAGTGAGCAGGAAGCAAAATAGGAGTTGAGTTTAAATAATGAATGGGTCTTATTTTTTTCTAGGGACCTATTTCGGGTGAGCATATTGGTCTAGTGCTAGCATTGAAAATTTTTAAATTCCTGCCCTCACTGGAAGAGAGCTGTCATTCTTGGCTGTTCTGCGCATTTCAAAAGAGATGTTGTGAAAGAGGGAGAGCATACTAGGCACAAAGGGTGAAATTGCTTGGGGATGTGCAGAGCCATTGAAGATGGTAGACAGCTAGTATAGCATGAGCTATTAAATATTTTCCCTAAGGAGCTGTACAGCACAGAAAAGCATCAGAAACCAAGAAGAATAGTTTTCTATGGGTCAGATGAATGTGTAATATAGTTTGAACTGTCAATTTTAGTGTCAGAAATGGGAAGAGAATAGATTTCAGAAATGTGGGCAGAAGAGGATGTGAGGAGATTTACCGAGCAAACTAACAGACTAACATGCAGACTATTAATCCCTCTGTTTTTTCACACAAAGTGAAACTGCCTTCTCAGAAGGTGGGGGTGCAAAAGTTCATTTGTCTTTCATTTGCACTTCATAACAGCCAGGACTGTCAAGGCATACCGGATATCTCTGGGAGATTAATGATTAGCTGAAATTAGGTACAGTCAACATCCCACTTGTCTCTCCTGCCATCTTATCATTAACCCCAGGAAACAGTTTATCTTTGAAAGCTCTTCTTTGTAGTATGTGTCTAGATAGCTTAGCACCTAATAAGTCAGCTCAGTTTTAAGGCCCTGTTGTGTTCAAAAGACAGGCTTTGAATATCTGGTAAATTTTAGGGAAGTTTGGGTCTCAGCTCAAAAAGGTCTGAGCTCAATGGCTCAACAGTAGATTCTCACACCTAAGTATCATGTAAAGACAAATGCTCAGTAAGTGTGTTTGTGGACTTGGCTGTGTACTTTTCCTTCTACACAGAATAGCACTCTGAAAACTTGTGAAGTGAGTGAGCAGGGCTCCCCTAGGAGGTTGTTTGCAGCTCTGAAACACAAATATTCAATTGAGCCTTGAGTGACCAGCAGTTTCCTGAAGATTGCACCTTATGTAAACAAACTAGAGTTGATGCTCTCTGTGTTTGCCTCTTGAAACTGAAAAATAATCCTTGAAGACAGAGTTGAAGCAGTTGAGATGGAAGATTCTGTGCTAATGTTTGTCTCAATTAAAGAAAGTGGAAACAATCCCCTGGACCATTTCAGCTTTAAAAGTACTGAAAAATAACAGAAAGGTTATTTAGTCTTAGCTATGCAGGACAAATTCATAAAACCAATGTTGCCAAGGACTCCCCAAAGAGCAGGGAAATGCTTCAATTAAGAGTTGCCAAAATGACCTTGCTGCCACCAGTGAACAGATGTCTGTATGTATTTTCATTCCTTTTTGTCTGTTTTTTAAAAAGATCTATTTGTATTCAACATTGTGTTCACTTGAAGAGTTGCTTACTTAAGGAATTGGTTAAATGCTTACACCAAATCATGTTTTCTCAGAAGATGCTGATGCTGAGTGACGTGCTTGTCCTTAGGACTTACTGGTTCCACAAAAACTTCCAGTGGGAATTGGGCAAGTGGGAAAGCTGCCCATATGGAAGAGTAGTCCCAGCGTACTGATTCCCCACCCAGCTCAAGAACTAGGTGTTCCGGGTTCATCAGGAGCTTGTTTATTAAAATGCTGACGATTGTTTTATGGCAGCCCAGTTCCTTAGGAGCTTGTGTAACTTGAAAAATAAGAGAAAGCAAATTAAAAAAAAACAAAACAAAGACCAAAACCACCACCACCACCAAATGTCAGAAAACCCCACGCACCCAGGAAAAAAGTTAAAAACAGCAAAAAGCCAACTAACAAAATAAAACCTTCAAAAAACCCTGAAGACTTATTCAGTTCTTCTGAACTATGGAAAAGCTAATTGCTAAGTTTATTTGCCATGATTTGAAGTTTGGGTCTGTTTTTTAATCTTAAAATGTCACTGTCCCCACCCATCAAAAAACAACTCATAAGTGATTAATTGTTTTGTTTTGGTTTGGTTTTGGTT